AAGAGCTGAACCCAGACACCATTAAGTAAATAAATCATCATCCCAACAAATAAATCCAGTGTAAACTGCCTGTGATTGAGGCAGCTGTGCAGGTGGAGCTCAGGTCTCAATCAGTGTGAGTTTAACCCCTCACATTGCCAGCAGAACTGCCAAGCGACTGATGTCTAATTTGCAAACATTTCATAACGGGATTCCTGCCCCCATTCCCACGCTGAATTTTGGAGCAGAATTCCCATGGGTCGGTGTGACGTACCTCAAGTTACTGTGAAGTTGTTCCTATTTCCATGACTCGAATTCCAACTCGCTCACTTAGAATCATAGAATCCTAAAGTACAGAAGGAGGCCATTCGGCCCATCGTGCCTATGTGGGCTCTTTGACAGATCCAACCAAATAGTCCCATTCCCCGCTCTTACCCCATAGCCCTATACATTTTTCCTTTTCAAGTACCTTTCCAATGCTCTTCTGCAAGAACTCTTAACATTGACAACACTTCTCAAATATCAACAATTTTATTGCAATAATTTCTAGACCTTCAAAAATAAATACAAAATAAAAAATATTTTCTGTGCACTACAGATGGTGCGAATATGTAAACTGCACATGATGCTCCCTGTGCAGTCTAGACAGTGTTCCCAATTCTTCATACGGTATCTGTGATTCTCTCTACAGACTGTGTATATGGCTGAATACAGTGGTGTTCATATAGACTGTACACTAGAGGCTGTCTGTGTATAATAGATTGTACCTGACTGTACTATGAATGGACAGTGTACATGACTGTCATATCTGGAGTGTACATTAGTGTCCTCCCCTGCACGTCCTACAGACTATTTGCTCTAATTCCCCCATCAAGTGAGGTAATGAATCAACAATTATGCTTTATAATAAATTAATAAATAACGTTTTATTCACAGAATATCCACAAGCCTCAACAAGACACTTGTGGTTTGTTATGTGTCTCACGTCATGGGCTCACTTCATATGCTGCTCCTGATATGAAAGATGCTGAACAGTGTAAATGCAATTTGTGTTGTGACACAGACCTGCTCCCTCACTGGGAAAGTCTCCCATTAATTTCTGATTACAAAAATATCCATGAAGGTTCGCAGCCCTCATTAAGTGTCATGGTGTGGCTCCTGTATAACCATCTCACACACTTTCCACTCAGCCTTTGAGCTTCATCTATTCCACCATATGTTCTGAGCTCTCGCTCGTCTGGGGCTGCTTTGTGAAAGTGCAGAGAGAGATGATGGTCCGAGGGAACCAAAGCCTCACATCTTAAACAACGAGAAGAAGCCTTGGCTTCTTAGTCCTGCGGAGGAAGTGACTGAGACTCTTGGAGTCGCGACCCTCACTGCCATTGTCCCCGGGAGCCCAGGCCGCCCCCCAGAGCACTGCTGGGTCTTCAGCTGTTGATTTATCACAACGTGCATGTCGTCCTGTCAATAAACAACAGTACATCAACCATCTGCTAGCCCATCTCTCCATATACTAGCCCATCTCTCCATATACTAGCCCATTTCTCCGACCTAATCACCTACTTTACTATTGTGCTCCCTCTTGTTCTTGCCTGTCCTTCTATCCTCCCTTGTCCTGGCCTCTCTCCCTGATCCTCTTCTCTCCCTCAGTCTAGCCTCGTCTTCTCTCTGTGGAGCTCCAACTTCTTGTTAATCAGTTGCACAGAAAGTTCCAATAGCCAAAGATGTAGAACCACCTTTGATTGTAGGGCCCAATCAACACGTCATCTTGAGATGATATATAACATTGTCTGCTCCGCCCTGGGAGGAGAGGCTACAAACCCACCTGCCAGGCCTCCAGCTCCTGTGACAGGCCGACTTTCTGCTGAATGGCTTCCAGAAGCTGTGAGTTCAGTAACTGCAAGTCCAGGTGACACTGGGCCAACTCTGCCTCCACCGCATTCTTCCTGTAACCACAAGACGCACACACACAGGCTGTCATTACTCCCACCAAACGTCACAGCCGAGATTCCAGTTTACTGGTCCCCACTCACACCTCAATGGGTCCAGGTCTGTAAAGCAAGTCATGACTTAATGCTTTGCTCAACTCCATCAGTTTAACGCACAATCACTCAACATAAACCTCCCCCAAATGTAGCGTAACCCCCTCCCCTCCATAGTCCAGCTGACACAGAGCAAACCCTCTGACACAAAGCAAAATGTTAAAGAGTTTATCTAACAACGGCCTCCGTGTGTTTCTCACTTTGCAATGGCGGCGTCCCTTTCGTGGACAGCTTGCTGTAGCCGTTGATCCCCTGTCTGTTCCTCCAGCCTCCCTGCTGCTTGCTCGCTCTCCTGTCTGAGCACCAGCCGTGAGCCTTGGACATGCACCTGCAGGATTGGATCACATCACTGGCCAGTCAGCGGGATTCAGCAGTCAGTGTGCCCTGACCCCCTCCTCCCCACTCCCCACACACACACACCACCCCACACACCACCCAGAACACCCCCCCCCCACACACACACACCACCCCGCAACCCTCCCCCACCCCCATAAACACACATGCACAAGGGGAAACAGGGTCATTGTGCCAGAGCCTTGGGACGTCTTCCCGACATGAAAGGTGCCATATAAATGCAAGTTGTTGTTGTTGGGGGCATCACTTATCTGGCAGATTGTTGGCTGCAGCTCTTGTTATCAGTTGCCCGGCAGGAGGGGTGGGGAGTTGGCTGGAGTGGGACACCCTGACTGTGTTTGCTCATTGCTGATCACAGTGACTGGCTGCTCTCTTTATTGACCGCCTCTTCCCCAACTGCTCTCTGATCTTCTCATCCCACCCAGCCAAGCAGCAGAAATCCAAATATATACACAGTCACTTGACTTTACAGTGTATCCCGCGAAGCGCTCTGAAACGTCTCAACAACAACAACAACAACAACAAGATTCCATTTATAAAGCGCCTTTCACGTCAGGAGGACGTCCCAAGGCGCTGAAGACGTGATAAGGCCCTGTATCAAACGTGAGGATTATTATTATTATTACTACTGTGCTATAGGAGAGTAGTTGTTTACCGGTGTGGCTGGACTCTGTGACAGACTGCAAACCAGGTGTCGGAGCTGTGAGAGGGCGGCGTGTAGAGTCTGAGGCTCCATGTGACTCCCCGTTTCTGGGGAATCCTCACCCATCAGTGACTGCAGCTCCTGCACAAGGTCCACAATTTCACCCTTTATCTGTAAGAAGAGACAGAGACATAGAGCAGCTGGAGAGGACAGAGGGTCCCAGTAAATAACAAAGTGGCTTGGAGAAGGGAATCGTTCTAGTCCCACTGTGTTACTCGGCACCGTATCCCGTGTCCAGGCTAGGATTAGTATCGTTATTATTGTTATTACCTGCTGTCTCTCGGCCCCCCAGCTCGGGCTGTCCGTGTCCAGGCTGAGCTCGATCTCTGACAGCAGAGACAGGTTGGCCTGTGTGGGCTCCTGCATCATCAGCTGCTCCGTCACCTCCCGTAGCCTCACCTCCAGCTGCCGATTCAGCTCCCGCATCTCCTCCCCTTCCTTCTGCCACAGGCTCAGCTACACACACAGCAAGGTGTCAGCTACACACACACACACACTCACACAGCAAGGTGTCAGCTACACACATACACACACAGCAAGGTGTCAGCTACACACACACAGCAAGGTCTCAGCCATTTGCACACACGCACGTACACACACACACACATGTGTCAAATTGATCCTGAGCCTGTGTTACACATGTCCTTCCCAACTCCTCCCTCCACAGGCTGCAAATAATCCAGAACTCTGCAGCCCGTGTCCTCTCCCGCACCAAACTCTGTGACCCCATCTCCCCCATTCCCTCCTGACTCCATTGGCTCCCTATCCTTCAGAGGATCCAGTTCAAGTTCCTGGTCCTCAAATACAAAGCCCTCCATGGCCTCGCCCCACCCTACCTCTGCGACCTCCTAACCCCCTACCAACCCGCCCGCTCCCTCCGCTCGGCTCTGGCTGCTCCACGTCCTCTGACCACCCGCCCCACCATTGGCTGGAGAGCCTTCAGCCACTCTGTCCCCAACCTCTGGAATTCCACCCCCCAATCACTCCGCCTCGCCCCCTCCTTACCCTCCTCTTCGACCATGCCATTGGCCACTTCCCCTCCCCTCCCTTCTCCCCCCACCGACCCCAGCTCAAGTCTGAAATGCTGTACACCGTCCAGTGCCTTGGGACGTCCTCCCGACGTGAAAGGCGCTGTGCACATGTAATGCTGCTGCTGCTGTTGTCCTGTGTTACACATGTCCCGGGGTACATGTACTCATGTCCTGTGTCACACATGTCCTGTCTGTGCCGGGGGTCTGACCTGCAGGAACTGCTCCTGGTGTACTCGCTGTAGCAATGACAGCTGTTCCTGTCGTGTCTCCGAGCTGCTCTTCAGTGACACGTTCTCCCTCAGCAGAACCGCTCCACGTCGCTCCAGCTCTTCCTTCTGCTCCGACAGCAACGCCACCTGGTACAGAGACAACACAGGCTACAGGCCACGCTGTGAGACTGCTCAACCCCCTGCAGCAACAGGGACAGTTTTACCTAGGAGAATGGAGTTCCACTGCCCTTGTTTCTCCCTTGTTAATAATAATAAAAATCCTGGCATTTGTTGAGACGTCTCAAAGCGCTTCACAGAATATACTGTAAAGTGAATTGACTAATAACTTTGTGAGTGAAACGTGGCAGCCAATTACACACAGCTGCATCCCACAAACAGTCGTGGATTGAGTGACCACATTATTATTATTTATTTGTTTGAAGATTTCTTTTGGAGGGATTATTACCCCCAGAAAGTGATCTACCAATTGACTAACAAGTAGGTTCCTGCTAGTAGTAAACAGGCGAGTGGAGTAAGGAAACTTGCCTAAGGGTTCGCCCTGTCCGGGAATCGAACCCGGGTCTTCTCGCTTGCGAGGTACGCACTCTAACCACTATCCCACTCCAAAATAAAATTGGTCACTCGCTCCATGGTTATTTGTGGGACACTGCTGTGTGCAATTGGCTGCTGTATTTTGCTCTGCTCACAAAATCCACAGTCACTACACTTTACAGTAAATCTTGTGAAGCGCTTTGAAACGTCTCAACCATGTGTTAAGGTGCTGTATCAAATGCAGGGCTTATTATTATTATTATTATTATTATTATTATCCTGCTTCCAAACCCATCTCCACCCGTGTACCCATTGCTGCCCCTGTAACCCTCTCCCCCGGGCACATCCCACCCCATCCCTATGCACCCCTAATACCCACCTCTGCCTGGAGACTGTGTGTGGTGGTGGCATCCTCAATCAGGAGCTGGGACCTGTCTCTGTGCCGCTCCCTCAGGCTGTGTAGCTCTGAGGTCAGCTCCTGCTCCATGACTGCTGCCTGTGTACAGAGAAATCAGGCGTTCAATCCAAGGGCAGAAACACACATAACAGAGCTCCATAGCGTAGCGCGGGGAGAGAGAGAGACACTGAGAGCGCGAGAGAACGGCAGGATGCCCAGAGACGTCTTGTCCTGTGCTGTGCTGTTTTCTAACATATGATTTCACAGATGGCATCACTTTTTCAGTGATCTATTCTCAGGTTCAGTGTCGTTTCTCTGCCAAGCACTGCCTGTAGTGCCTCTTTTACGGCCAATATTTCATTATAATAAATAATGTCCCTCAAACAGTTGTGGATTGAGTGACGAAATTATTATTATTATTATTTTTTGAAGGGATCATTAATCCTGGAAAAGCGATCCACCAATCGACTAACAACTGGGTTCCTCCTGACTGCTGGTAAACAGGCGTGTGGAGTAAGGAAACTTGCTCAATGTTTCACCCTGAGGGAATCAAACCCAGGTACTCTGGCTTGCGAGGCGAGTGCTCTAACCACTGAGCTACAGGGATTCTATCAGGCTACACCTACTGTAACTACATTAATGTTTAGAGTGAATAAAAACCTTCTCCTGTCTCTTCTGTACAGTATGGCTGCCTGGCTCCCGGCAGGTTCCTGATTCTCGAAAGCCAACAGGAAAAGCAAGATCAGCACTTTATACCCACGTAGACCAGCAGAAATCATCTCCAGCCCGCGTGTCCTTCACACATGTTCAAACCACAATGAGGTTTTGTGTTCCTCCACAGTCCAGAGCACAGGGGCAGATTATAATAATGTAATAATAATCCTTACATTTGATCCGGTGTCTTATCATTTCGTCAAGGCGGCTCAAAGGCAGTTGTCCCCAGAGACAAACTCATTTTAAAAAAAAAACGCAATGGCTTTGACCCTCTGATCCACACCCTTCAATTACACCTCCTCTCCTCTCGTCTCATTGACCTCAGAACATCAGGAAACACTCTGAGACATTCTTCCAACACGGAAGGATCTATTTATGGTAAATGCCAAACTTATTGCTGAAGTTGTTCAGAGAACCAGTTATGGCAGCCACTGCCTTCAGGGGGAGGAGCAAAAATCACGCAGAGGGACAGAATCTCACACTCGATTTCAAATCCCTTCAGGTTCTGGCACCTCCCGACCTCTCTGATCTGTGATCTCACACACATCTCGCCCTCTGTTAGCTGAGTCACTGTGTATCACACATACCAATACAGACACAGGTAACAACAACTTGTGTTTAGATAGCGTCATATCAACAGGTCAAGAGATTGGGTCCAACAGAAAAGCTCACTCCATTAACTTACACCTGCTCACTCAGTGAAAACAGCACCGACCTCATTAACAGTGTGCCCTGCCTTGTGAAGAGGTTAGAGGGGACTGCAGTGAAGTGACTCTCTGTGTTCGACTGTATTCCAATAGTACACAGAGCAGATATCACACTGTTGGTGTACACCAGCAGAGCCTGGGCAGCCCAACTACTGACTGAGGAACACAAGGCCAGGAAGATCGTATTCAGCCCATTGAATATGTTCCCCGAGTTTACCAGAGTGCTCATGTGTTCTGTGTCTCTTCCACTAGAGTGAGGATAACGCACCCATTCTCAGCCGAGACAAGTATAAGGAAAGATACAATACTGATCTTTTAAAGCAGAACTTCCTCCACACCTGAGAGGTTGACGGTGGCCACACCTGTGCTATATTTAGCTGCAAAATAAAGAGACGTGGGAGCGTCTGCCTCGGGTGAACATCGCACACAGAGAGTTAGTCACACGATAGCATCAGGGGGGTGGGGAGGAGCAGGATGTAAGCTGAGCAGCTTCTGAGCTGAAAGTTACAAAGGTTAGCGGCAGTGATCCAGGGAAAACTCTCTCAACCCTCATGACGTTATTGAAAGGTTTCCAGTAAAATAACATGTTTGTGTAACTCATGCACAACTGACTGGACATCAGCAAGACAGAGAGAGAGAGAGAGAGAGAGGGCGGAGAGAGAGCCGTGAGACCAGTCTGGGTCAGGATTGAGCAGCGCTCATTCACTTCAAAGCATCCCATCTCTAATGGGAGTTAATGACTGCGTCTCCAGTGTAATCTCCTCTAATTAAACTCATTTCCTTTTGTTCCATTTACTCTAGCGTGCAACGCTCTGACCCATTTGGACAGCCAGAGCCTTTTACCCTTTCGTGCATTTAGCTCCTTCCTTCACATAAACACTTGTATCCTTCCACAGCGCCTCCATCCTGCATAGAGCACACTACTCACCACAGCACACACTACACACACCACAGCACACACTACACACACCACAGCACACACTGAATGATGGTGGATACAAGGAAATCCATGATATGGGTCTTTATAGTTAGACCCATGTGTGGACGGATTGTGGTTTTGGGGGGGATAAAGTTAATGGACAGCAAATATTGTCCGCCCAAAAAAAACAAAATCCTCATTCCTCTAATGGCTGTTTGTGGGACATTGCTGTGTCCATGGATGAGAAAGTCCTGTAGCTCAGTGGTTAGAGCACTTGCTATGCAAGTTCAATTCCAGGCAGAGGGCGATACCTCGGGCAAGTTTCCTTACTCCACACAGAGCCTAATAATAATCCCTCCAAAACCAAAAACAATAATAAATTGGTCATTTTCAACCCATGACTGTTTGTGGGGACACTGCTGTGCGCAATTGGCTGCCGCGTTCGCTCACAAATATACAGTCAATTCATTTTACAGTATATTCTGTGAAGCGCTTTGGGACATCCAGAAGACATGAAAAGCGCTATATCAAATGCAAGGATTATTATTATTATTAAAGATGTTGTAGTATTGTGTGCAATTAGGCTGCTGTGTCCACCTGCAAATTTTCACTCTCTCCGCTTCACAGTAAATCCTGTGAAACGCTTTGAGATGTCCTCCCGACATGAAAGGTCAAGGATTTACTGTTGTTGTTGTTGTTATCGTTATCATTATAGTTATTGTAATCTGCCAATCACTGTACCACCAACAACAACTTACATGTATATAGCGCTCTCCACGCAGGGCAGTGTCTCGGAGCACTTGATCAGCTGCCAATCACATAACCTGTCAATCACTGCATGAAGGAGAGGGACAGCAATTCCATCGAAGTGCAGGAAACTCCTCTGTGGAAGTAGAAGGTGTTGGTGCAGAGCTCCTGCAGGTGGGTGTGACCACGTGCAGTTACTGGAAGCTCGTGTTCCTCGTGAAGAGATCCCGATAATAAACACCACAAACTACACCATCAGTGCTGAGACCACCCTGTGCCCACTGGCGTGGCGCTATCATGGCTGCCCACGTGCCAACCTCACCTTACTCAGCCGCTCTAGCAGCCTGTGGTTCTGCTCTCTCAGCTCCTGCACCGAGTGTATCTTGTCCCTGTCAGCCTCCTGCAGTGCTCGATGGCGTCTCTCCAGCTCACACTCCAGTCGTTGCAAATCATTCTCCAGTTCAGCCACTCGCGCCTCCCACTCGCTTTCCTTCCCCTCGAACCTCAGCCGCCACTCGTGCTTCTCCTGCTCCAGGTCCTAAACACAGTAATAGTAATATTATTATAATCCTAATAATATAATCTTAACAATATTATAATAATCCTAATAATATAATAATATCTTAACAATATTATAATAATCCTAATATAATCTTAACAATATTATTATAATCCTAATAATATAATAATCCTTGCATTTGATATACCATGTTATCATGTCTTCAAAGTGTCTCAAAGCACTTCACAGAATACACTGTAAGTTGAATGGTGCTGTAAGAGTTGTTGTTGCTGTTGTTGTAAGTGAGGCAGCGCTAACCAAATGCTGGCTTCTTATTGTTATTGATTGACAGCAGTTTAGTAATTATGTCACTAACGCATGACTGAGCTCTGGAGAAATAAAATTATGCTTTGGAGTTTGGACGTCGTAACAGCAAATCTTGTGGCTATTACCTAACCGCAATGAAATAATCTCAAAGCACTTCACATGAACTCCTGACCAGCGTTGATTACTTTTGTTAACAAAGGCAGCCATTTTGCACGGTCCCACAAACAGCAATGTGGTGGATGATCAATTAACCTGCAAACCAGAGGAACTCCCATCTCTTTTCCAATGGTTACGAGGATCTTTAATGTTTTCCTTAACAGGCAGACAGGACCTCAGTTTAACATCTCACCCAAAGAACGACATCTCTGACACTGTAACCTCTTCCAATGTGACAATGCGGTGTCAACTCAGACTGTGTCCCAGTGGGGGCTTGAAATGCACGTTCTGACCCCAAGGCGAGAATGCTACCAACCGTGGTAAGCTGACCCTGAGGACTTGCATTTGAAAATACTTTCCTTCTTGAGTTGGACGTGAACTCGTTAGCAGGGGAGGCATTGACTGAATTCTAATCCCATCCCTCAGGGCCTGAGTTTGAGGTGCCAGGTTAGCCTGTCTCTCAGAAAGGGGCCACTCACCACAGTTGGGTAAATGATGAACTAGTGAAACTCATTATGTGTTAAAGCTACTGATTCAGACTTGGCTGGGGCCACAGTTGCCCTGTGGACCAGCAGGCGTGGGGCTCACAGTGTACCTGGGCACTGCCCGGCTTGTCTCCCCATTGCCGGCACAAATTACAGTAACTTCAGATGCGTCAGAATTAATTTGAGCGCAGTGCATTTATCGGACTCATTCATGCCCCGATTGACCCTTACAGTGAAGGTAGAGGTGAAAACATGACACAATTCTCAATGACTCCCAACACTCACCCCTCTGATATCTTTCCCATTGATTTCCCTCATAAACCCCTATTTCCTTACCTCCCTCGGTCTTCATCGATACCATCAAAATTTAGGGGAGTAGTTATTTAGCAGGGATTTCTTCAGAGAGCTGTCAGGCTTTGGAAATTATTACTACAAGTGGCTATTGAGACAGAGTCAACAGGATAATTTAAAAGGGACCTGGACAAGCATCTGAGTGATAAGAACATTATTATTAATGATAATAATCCTTGCATTTGATATCGCGCCTCATCATGTCGCTGAGACGTCTCAAAGAGCTTCACAGAATATACTTTAAAGTGGATTGTGGGTGAAACGCAGGGACTAATTGCACACAGCAGCATCCTATAAACAATTGTGGATTGAGTGACCTCATTATTATTATTTATTTGTTTGAATAGATTATTATCCACAGAAAGCGATCCACCAATCGACTGACACGCAGGTTCCTACTCACTGCTAGGTAATCAAAGGCGTGTGGACTAAGGAAACTTGAGTAAAGTTTCGCCCTGCCCAGAAATCAAATCCAGCTTGCATAATAACAAAAATAATCATAGCTTTTTATTATGTATTGCCTTCTACGGCAAATAAACATCTCAAAGTGCTTTATATTATAAAATTGATTAGAAATGCAGTGAATGTTGTTATATAGGCAAAGCCCTACATGTACTGGATCCTCACAAAGCTGTCCTCACTGAGATGAGCCTGGATAGCACCAGATGAAGCTTTGCCTGATTGAACACGCCAGGTAGCTTCTATTGTACTCGCCCGAGTTTTCTCCTGAAGGAAATGAAACACAAAACATTTTCCGTCCACAAGGGGATCATTCGGCTCATCATGGCTGTATCGGCACTACCTGTTTTTCTGAATCACTCTTTTATATTAAATCCCACTTTCCAAGCTCGCAATTTACTGTCGCATTTCGCCCACAAATACACAGTAAATTCACTTAACAGTATATCCTGTGAAGCGCTTTGAGACGTCCGGAAGACGTGATAAGGTTCTATATCAAATGCAAGGATTATTATTATTGTTTTATTATTATTGTCAGTATTATTATTGTTAGTATTGTTCTTGTCAATATTATTATTGTCAGTAATATTATTATTCTTATTATTACCCCGGACTGTTACTCACCTCCACTGTGCGACTGAACCTCTCCTGCAGCTGATGGTTGTGTTCTTTCAGCTCCTGGGTCTCTGACAGCAAAGCTTTGCCCAGTTGGGCTGCCAGGTCCAACTCCTTCTCCTTCTGCCTGAGGAGGGACAGCAGGTCTGACACGTCGCCCACACCATCCCGGGGCATCGGGAACAGATCCTCCTCCACAGGAGACTTCATCTCCACCGCACTCCCACCGGTCATCAGAGGCGCCAACGTCCAAACTTCCCCCCAAAAACAAGGTCACTTTCAAACGTTTTGCTCACAAAGTCGCCAACCAGTTCACTTTGCGGCGTAACCTGCGAAGCGCTTTGAGGCGTCTCGAAGACCCGATAAAGCGCTGTATCGAATGCCAGGACGATTATTATCGTTGTTGTTGTTATTGTTAAACTCGAAAAACTCCCCCACCCCCAAAAAAAAGAGATCACTTCCAAAAAAAAGTTAAACTTCCAAATAATAATAAAAATAATAATAATTAAGACCCGGAGCTCGAGTCCCCAAACTGTCCCCCACACAGAGAGAGAGAGAGAGAGAGAGAGCTCCCAGAGACTTGGCTAAACCCACAAGGTGTTCCCCTGTGAGTTACTCCTGAGCTCAGACACAGGGACTCACTCACTCACTCACTCTACACTCCGCTCTGGGGCTTCGCTGTGACTCTTTATAGTCGGGGCTGAAGGTGTCTGTCGGTCAGTGTTTGGATCTGTGGCAAATGAGCGTCAAAAAGCTTCTTCCCACCGAATCGGCGTCTCCACAGCCCGAGGGGAGGGGAGGGGAGGAGGAGGGGGTGGGGGGCAGAGTGGGGGCAGAGTGGGGGGTGGGGGCAGAGTGGGGGCAGAGTGGGGGTGGGCAGAGTGGGGGCAGAGTGGGGGGTGGGGGGCAGAGTGGGGGCAGAGTGGGGGGTGGGGGGCAGAGTGGGGGGTGGGGGGCAGAGTGGGGGCAGAGTGGGGGGTGGGGGGCAGAGTGGGGGCAGAGTGGGGGCAGATGGTGAAATGAAATGAGAGACTGACACTGTAACCCACAGCTACAGCTCTGTCTCTCTCTCTCTGTGTCTCTGTTTCTCTCCAACGATAACTATCACTGATAATCCCTTCAACTCTCATTTCCGTGTGTGAGGTTTATTGGGCTTTGGTGGTGTTGGGGGAGTGACTGAGAGAGAGAGAGAGAGAGAGAGAGAGATTGAGGGATGAGTGGGCGGGAAACCGAATTCCATTCGGTTTTAGCCTCTGGCACCAGCTTTGCTTTTGTATTTTTCAGAACTGTCTTAACTTAAAAAAAAATTTTTTTTGCGGAATTCTGGAACAATCATAATTTAAATGTGACTTGAAAATATGATTGTCGTGAGAAATGCCGTAAGAAATTCTCAATTTAGAAGTTGGTTTCTTTTTAAGAATTGTGAAAAGAAAACACAGGCTTCCCAAATTGACAACAACTTGCATTTATTTAGCGCCTTAGAGCGAATTTAAGAATCCACAGTAGTCACTGTTCATTTTTCTTTTGGTTTTGGAGGAATTATTATCCCCGGAAAAGCAATCAGCCAATCGACTAATAACCGGGTTCCTGCTTACTGCTGGTGAGCAGTGTGGAGTAAGGAAACTTGCCCAACGTTTCGATCTGCCGGGAATTGAACCCAGGTCCTTTCACTTGTGAGACGAGGGCTCCAACTACTGAGCTACAGACTCCACAGTTACAGGGTCAGGAATACAGGGTCTGGCTGTATTTTGTCTGTTTTAAACTTATTGCTTATTTTTCTCTCTCATTTCTTTCACTCCCAATCTCTGCTGAAAACAAACATTTTGCTTCTACTGTTGCACAGGTCCATCGCCAAAGTAATTACTTTTCTGCAAGACTTGGCATTTGTCCTCTGTGCGTGTGTGAATGTAGGTGTGTATGTATGTGTATGGATGTATGCGTGTGTATGTATGTGTATGTGTGTATATGTATGGGAGTGTAAGTGTGCAGGTGTGTGTATGTAGGTGTGTGTGTGAATTGGTGTGTGAGGCCTGCCCACTGCTCGTGCAGTTAGGACCACCCTATCTGTTAGGGCTTTGGCTTGTGGGGTTAACAGGAGCTGAGTGGGGGGATTCCCTGCCCCTAATGTCTGCCCTTCCAGGTCCTGCCGATGAGCCAGACTGGGCCGGGCTACCATGACTGATTTTGTTGTTGAGATCAGGTAACTAAGCATAGAATAGGATTCCAATCGACCACATTCCTGTGCCTGTGGCCCATTTCTGTACCGGGTGGTGCCTTCAGCCACTCGACTATTCAAGGTGCTCGAAACTCATTGTATCTTGAGTGGCTGAGGATTCTCACTCTGCCGGCATTTCCAGCTGCCATCAGCAGTTGTGTCCTCACAATAGATTAGATGTAAATCACCAAACCAAGGAGTGGACGGGTGGATCATGGGACGTTTCTGACTGAAGAGACGCTAAAGCTGAGGTGAGTGAACAACAGCTTCCCCCACAAAATACAGTCACTACACTTTACAGTGTATCCTGTGAAGCATCTCAATCAAGTGGTAAGGTACTATATCAAAAGATACAGCACAACCGGTAGAACACACCTGCCTTTGTGCATGTCCCGTTTAGCTCTCAAAGGTCACTGCAATGTGGTTATACAGGTCCACTCAACATAGTGCAATCCATTCTACTCCCTAAAGCTTGTGCCACTCCATGATTTATAACAGGTAAGATTGTAAAGCAGAGTGTGAAACTGCCATCACATGGCTGAGAAAGATGATGTAATACAGTGTGGACACAATATTTGCGCAGTGTGTATTTAACAACAGGTGTGCCCGACACCCATTAATCACGTCAAAGCTTATTGTCAATGCGTACGTACATTCATCTAAAATAGGAACCACGTTTTATAGTGAATCCTGTCAAACATTGAATCATTTTGATGACATGAAGCGCTGATACAAGGAATGTTATTATTGACATCAACCATAACCCTTGCATTTGATGTTCGCATTTGCCTCATCACGTCTTTGAGGCGTTTCAAAGCGCTTCACAGAATATACTGTAAAGTGAATAGATTGTATATTTTGTGGGTGAAACACAGCAGCCAATGGCACACAGCACTGTCCCCACAAACAAACGTGGATTGAGTGACCCAATTTTTTTAAAGGGATTATTACCCTAGGAAAGGAATTCAACAACTTGGATTTATAGAGCGCCCTCCACACCGGACGGCATCTCAGAGCACTTTACAATCACGGATGCCGGGACCGAGCCGAGGGGGAGGGGCGGGAAGGTGACCTAAGGCGCAGTCAAAGAGAAAGGTCTTCAGCAGAGACCTGAAAATAGGGAGGGAGTGAGACAAGGGGAGTGAGGAAGGGAGTTCCAGGGGCATAGTGGCTGAAGGCATGGCCACCGAGGATGGAGCGGAGGACTCGGGGGACAAGGAGGAGGCCAGACCCGGAGGAACGAAGGCAATGGGTACTGTTTTGAGGCAAGAGGTCAGAGAGGTCGGGGGGTGCGGAGGATTCGCCAATTGACTAACAACTGGGTTCCTATTTACTGCTGGTAAACAGGTGCGTGGAGTAAGGAAACTTGCCTAAGGTTTTGCTCTGCTCGGGAATTGAGGCCCTGAGCTATAGGACTCCACAAGTACAATGAAGGAGCATAACATAGGGGCCAGGGGACCCCAGTAACACAGGGAGCTGGTAAACCTAACACAAATGTTCTGTAATAAAGCTGTCAGATGCTGTTTTCCGATGGGAGTTGACTAGTCGCCATGTTTTCCCTCGAGACCTTGTTACCTGATTGAGCACAGGCTGTGTGTGCGTGTGTGTGGCTGTACACCTCGGGCAGTCAGTCACTGAACAAATGGCTCAGTGTGGGGCCTCGCCTCCCTTTGTATTGTGACTGGTATCAGGGTCAGAGGCCAGTGAGGGGGGCCGGGGGGCTTGCTGACAGCCTCCCCCCACAGGACGCCTCACCAGCCAGTGTGCAGTGCTAAGCTGCTTGGCTTCGCTCAGGCCATCTGCTCTGCACGGATGCAGCTCCTCAGCTCGAGATCCTCAGAGACGCCTTTCACACACGCTTTGTGTTCCCTCCGCTCGGTACTGAGCAAACCTCAGTATGGCCTTGCTCACACCTCCTCACTGAGAGCTACAAACAAACCACAACCCTGCAGCCGTCTGAGAAGCTTTTGAGGTCAAGCTCCTGTCTCCCTATCCCCGTCCACTCATCACCACAGTGTAAATAATCTTTACCTGAACAGGTTCCGTTCCACATCCACTAGAAACAGTCATCGCTCCAACAATTTATATTTATTCATGCAGAATAGAATCTCGGATTGTTTTACCAAGAGGCGTTCGGATGCCAAGCTGGGAAGAGTGGGTGAGTGGGAGACGGGATGATGAGAGGGGGTGGAGAGGAGGGGAGGAGGGTGACCGTAGGCGAGACAAAAAGGTAGATGTTAAAGTGGAACTTGAAGACGACGACAACACAGTGCCTTTCACATCCAGAGGACGTCCCAAGACACTGGACAGTCAGTATTTGGACCCGAGCAGGGGGTTGGGATCAGGAGGGGTGGAGGGCAGGAAGGGTAGAGGGTAGGGACAAAGAAAGAGAAGGTGAGGTGTAGGACCTGAAAGCTTTGGCCACCGATTGCAACCAATGGTGTGGAAAGGGCAGAGGACATGCAGCAAACACGAAAAAGGGCAGAGGACATGCAGCAAACATGAGTTAGTCCAACAGAGGAGTTAACCCAACAGAGGAGTTAGTCCAACAGAGGAGTTAGTCCAACAGAGGAGTTAGTCCAACAGAGGAGTTAGTCCAACAGAGGAGTTAGTCCAACAGGGGAGTGGGCTAGAAGAAGATTACAGAGACAGTAATTGTATTACGATTCATAGTGAAGGTGAGGAGCTTGAAATCAATCCACTCTCCCCCCCACCCCAACGCGGTGACTCGAGCCCATACAGAGCAAAGGGCTCAGCACACAAAGCATTCACACAAAGCAACTCCCCAGAAAGTTACATTCAGTTTCACATACAACAGTCCTGCCCCAGCCCTCTATAATAATAATAATACCATCTCTCCCTGCACCTTTCATCAAGTCCAATAAACTACTCAGGAGGCAGGAGCAGAGACCAGGTGATTCCCTACTCCCTGAGTGAAGACCTGCACAGCACTTCCCTCACACAGCTGCTCACTAGGCCAGGAATTTGCAGATAGAGTTAATAAAGTCTTGCGGTTTCTCCGCATGGATCCAGTGGCCGGCTCCAGCAATGTACTGTACGGTGGAGTTAGGAAACAGCCGGGAGATCTCAGGCAGATCTTTGGTGCTTTGGGAAAGAGCAAATAATAATACATAATAATAATCCTGGCATTTGATACAGCGCCTTATCACGTCTTCGAGATGTCTTAAAGCACTTCACTGGATACACTGTAAAGTGAATTGACTGTGTATTGTGCGCAAAACACAAAGCTAGTTGCGCCCAGCAGCGTCCCACAAACAGGGATTATTACCCACATAAAGCGATCCGCCAATTGACTGACAACTGGGTTGCTACTTACTGCGAGGTAAACAGAGACGTGTGGAGTAAGGAAACCTGTCTAACATTTTGCCCTGGCCGGGAATCGAACTTCGGTCCTCTCATTTGTGAGGCGAGTGCTCTAACCGCTACATTACAGGACTCCCTGTCCTCGAGGGCTAAACGACACAGGGCAGGGAGACTTACCCAATGTACTTAGACTTCTCACCCCCCAAGAAGAGGGTGGGCCCAGTGTATGACGTGTGGAACTCAGGAAAGCCCAGCAGATCCCCCAGATGGTTGAGGATGGCCTCCAGGTTCATCTTCCACCTGTACTGTCCGTCCTCTTCCACCAGGTTAGACAGGATGAATTGTCTGACCGCAGCTTCCTGTAAGTGAAACAGCCTCGTCAGCAGCAAACACCGCCCGCGTCACACAGCCCACAGCCGGGTGTCTGACACACACGGAAACCCGTCACCGTGACCAGCCGGGTGTCTGACACACACGGAAACCCGTCACCGTGACCGGCCGGGTGTCTGTCACGCACGGAAACCCGTCACCGTGACCAGCCGGGTGTCTGTCACGCACGGAAACCCGTCACCGTGACCGGCCGGGTGTCTGACACGCACGGAAACCCGTCACCATGACCAGCCGGGTGTCTGTCACGCACGGAAACCCGTCACCGTGACCAGCCGGGTGTCTGTCACGCACGGAAACCCGTCACCGTGACCAGCCGGGTGTCTGTCACGCACGGAAACCCGTCACCGTGACCAGCCGGGTGTCTGACACCCACGGAAACCCGTCACCGTGACCGGCCGGGTGTCTGACACACACGGAAACCCGTCACCGTGACCGGCCGGGTGTCTGACACACACGGAAACCCGTCACCGTGATTAAGAGAATCCAAACGAAGATGAGATTTCATACCTCCCACCGATGTGAGTAAATTCCGAGACAGATTATTGGAATGGAATGTTCTCTCTCTCTCTGGGGGGACGCTTCCTGCTTATGTGATTCCGGAGAGTATTAGCGCAGATTGGCCAGAGCCAAGGCTTGGGGGGCCCCAGAGAGTCCGTTGGGGTAACTGCTGGAGTCTAACCTGTTAAAAGTGCATAGCTTACCATTGATATCACTGTCTGGCAAGCTTTCCTGCTGCTTGTCCAGCTCGGCTTTGGCTGCAGGATTAGCAGGAGCTGAGTGCGATGATTCCCTGCCTCCAGTGACTTTTCTGTCTTTCCAGGCTGCCGACGAGCCAAGGCTGGGCTGTAAATCAGCTGTTGCCAAATCAGCCTGCGCTGCCTGCTTACCTGGCATTCTGTGCTGCATCTCTGCCATGCACGTCAGCAATCTGCTGCGTGTCTGTGTGTGCCTGTGTGTGTGGCTGAGTCTGTGTGTGTGTGTGGCTGAGTCTGTGTGTGCCTGAGTGTGTACATGTGTGTCTGAGTGTGTGTGGGTGCACCTGTGTGTGTCGGTACGTGTATGTGCGTGTGCCTGTGTGTGTGTTCGCCTGTGTTGGCTGTGTGTGTGAGTGCGCCTGTGTGTGTTGGGCTGTGTGTGTGTCTGTGTGTGTGTGCCTGTGTTGGCTGTGTGTGTATGTGTGTGCTCCTGTGTGTGCTGGGGTGTGTGTCTGTGTGCCTGTGCTGGCTGTGTGTGTGTGCCTGTGTTGGCTGTGTGTGCTCCTGTGTGTGTTGGGGTGTGTGTGTGTGTGTGTGCTCCTGTGTGTGTGTGTTGGTGTGTATGTGTGTGCGCCTGTGTTGGCTGAGCAGGGCAGATGTGCTGAACACTGTACCTTGATGTGTGACTGTAGTTGCTGCTCGGCTTGGCTTCGTACCGCAGATAGTGGTAAACTGCTATCCAGAGCCACCGCCTGCATAGCAGAGATGTACTGTGAGATGCTCGAGGACCCAGCTACGGTTCTGGGGCTGACGTCAACCACAATCAGCTTCTGAACCACTTGAGGCTGCAGAGACACCAATGTTAGTATTAGTTACAGAATGTGGCTAGAAAGAGGAAAAGGACCCCAATGTCCATCTCCAACGATCCAATGTCACCTTAGACTAAGTCCTGACGTGGGGCTTGAAACCCCAACCTTCTTACTCTCTTACTCAGAGGCGAGAGCGCTACCAACTGAGCCAGACTGACACACACGTTTATGTGGATACAATGGACACTGTTAGAACTCAGGACTCTCCTCTGTTCAACACTCTCTGAACCTGAGGGTTTCCTGTGACTGACCCTCCAGACACACAAACCCAACCCTCGCTGCCAATACCCTGTCATGTCAGGAGGAGGGGCCTCAGCGCTGGACTGGACAGTCAAGGGTTTGCACCTGAGCTGGAGGAGGGAGGGCAAGATGGGGGGGAGGGTGAGGAGGGGGGAGCGGGAGGGAGGGGAGGACGGGGGAGCGGGGGTGAGGGTGAGGAAGGGGGGAGCGAGGGCGAGGGGGGGAAGAGGGGGAGCGGGGGGAAGATGACCGAAGCCGCAGTGACGAGGAAGGTCTAACTCACCCTCAGCAGTGCGGTCACCATGGCTATCTTCCCCCCCAGGCTGTGGCCGAGCAGCACACACTCCGGGAGCCGCAGTGTGTCCAACAGCTTCTGGACGTCATGGCTCATGGCCTCGAAGGTCATCACAGGGCTGTGGCCACTGTCTCCGTGATTACGGCAATCCACAGTCACGACCTGACCAGACAGACAGGACACAGACGTCAGACACCGGCTCCCGGTGACCGTTGGGAACGCGTATGACAGACCAGTGCCTCACCGTGCGCCCGGAGCGCTGGACAACAGCTCGGCCGATGGATTGGAAGTTGGATTTGCTTCCGAAGAGCCCGTGCAGGAAAACCAGAGGAGTCTCCGTGCTGCGGCCATTGAGCACCGTGTGGGCCAGAGCGACCGGTCTGGGGAGAGAGAGAGAGAGAGGGAGGGGGTGAGAGGGGAGAGAGAATGAACTGGTATTATTACAGATTCATTTGAAGCCAAAACATGTTCAACCACTTTTAGAAAAGAGATTATTATTATTATTATTATTATTATTATTATTATCGACTAAACACAAATCACAATAAATATCTCGGTTTGTGCAGTGACTTCACGTCGGGAGTTCGTCCCCAGTGAAGTGACTGTTCCTTGTTCGAAAGGAAGTGAGTTTCTCTCTTTGCGGCCAACACCAAACCCCCAAATATCCCACCTCAGGGCTGTCTGGGGCTCAGTCTGACCCGGTGCTCAGGGCTGTCTGGGGCTCAGTCTGACCCGGTGCTCAGGGCTGTCTGGGGCTCAGTCTGACCCGGTGCTCAGGGCTGTCTGGGGCTCAGTCTGACCCGGTGCTCAGGGCTGTCTGGGGCTCAGTCTGACCCGGTGCTCAGGGCTGTCTGGGGCTCAGTCTGACCCGGTGCTCAGGGCTGTCTGGGGCTCAGTCTGACCCGGTGCTCAGGGCTGTCTGGGGCTCAGTCTGACCCGGTGCTCAGGGCTGTCTGGGGCTCAGTCTGACCGGTGCTCAGGGCTGTCTGGGGCTCAGTCTGACCCGGTGCTCAGGGCTGTCTGGGCTCAGTCTGACCGGTGCTCAGGGCTGTCGGGGCTCAGTCTGACCGGTGCTCAGGGTCTGGGGCTCAGTCTGACCGGTGCTCAGGGCTGTCTGGGGCTCAGTCTGACCGGTGCTCAGGGCTGTCTGGGGCTCAGTCTGACCCGGTGCTCAGGGCTGTCTGGGGCTCAGTCTGACCCGGTGCTCAGGACTGTCTGGGGCTCAGTCTGACCGGTGCTCAGGGCTGTCTGGGGCTCAGTCTGACCCGGTGCTCAGGGCTGTCTGGGGCTCAGTCTGACCGGTGCTCAGGGCTGTCTGGGGGCTCAGTCTGACCCGGTGCTCAGGGCTGTCTGGGGCTCAGTCTGACCGGTGCTCAGGGCTGTCTGGGGCTCAGTCTGACCCGGTGCTCAGGGCTGTCTGGGGCTCAGTCTGACCGGTGCTCAGGGCTGTCTGGGGCTCAGTCTGACCGGTGCTCAGGGCTGTCTGGGGCTCAGTCTGACCCGGTGCTCAGGGCTGTCTGGGGCTCAGTCTGACCCGGTGCTCAGGGCTGTCTGGGGCTCAGTCTGACCGGTGCTCAGGGCTGTCTGGGGCTCAGTCTGACCCGGTGCTCAGGGCTGTCTGGGGCTCAGTCTGACCCGGTGCTCAGGGCTGTCTGGGGCTCAGTCTGACCCGGTGCTCAGGGCTGTCTGGGGCTCAGTCTGACCGGTGCTCAGGGCTGTCTGGGGCTCAGTCTGACCCGGTGCTCAGGGCTGTCTGGGCTCAGTCTGACCCGGTGCTCAGGGCTGTCTGGGGCTCAGTCTGACCCGGTGCTCAGGGCTGTCTGGGGCTCAGTCTGACCGGTGCTCAGGGCTGTCTGGGGCTCAGTCTGACCCGGTGCTCAGGGCTGTCTGGGGCTCAGTCTGACCCGGTGCTCAGGGCTGTCTGGGGCTCAGTCTGACCCGGTGCTCAGGGCTGTCTGGGGCTCAGTCTGACCGGTGCTCAGGGCTGTCTGGGGCTCAGTCTGACCGGTGCTCAGGGCTGTCTGGGGCTCAGTCTGACCCCGGTGCTCAGGGCTGTCTGGGGCTCAGTCTGACCCGGTGCTCAGGGCTGTCTGGGGCTCAGTCTGACCCGGTGCTCAGGGCTGTCTGGGGCTCAGTCTGACCCGGTGCTCAGGGCTGTCTGGGGCTCAGTCTGACCCGGTGCTCAGGGCTGTCTGGGGCTCAGTCTGACCCGGTGCTCAGGGCTGTCTGGGGCTCAGTCTGACCCGGTGCTCAGGGCTGTCTGGGGCTCAGTCTGACCGGTGCTCAGGGCTGTCTGGGGCTCAGTCTGACCCGGGGGGGGGGGGCCCTTACACCTGGTAACCGCACGGGGGGGGGGGGTTACACTGGTAACCGCACGGGGGGGGGGGGGGGTTACACCTGGTAACCGCACGGGGAGCCCAGGCCTCCGCTCACCTCTCCGCCGCCCCACTCGCTGCTCTGCTCCCGACCCCCGCGGCTCCCGGGACGCGCCTCACGCGCCCTCGTCCCGACCTCAGAAGCAGCCGCAGCGGAGCCGCCATCCCGAGGCCCGGCACCAGGTGCACTGCAGCCACAGACCGCGCGGCGGCGCTGCTCTGCCGGAGTTGGACTGTGGCGCCGCTCGGCCACCGGGTGGCGCTGCTGCTCTGCTCGGTTTCACTGACACCACTCGGCCACCGGATGGCGCTGTTGACCACAGGAAATGTTGACCATTGCAGTGTCTGTTGCCCACAGA